TAGCTCAAAAGAGGGAACAAATCTTTACAGTGAGGATCATTCCCACCCCCTCCATACACAGAGTAGACAGGGATGGGCAACTTGGACATTGGCTACCCAAAATGTGGGGGGAGGGGGAGGAGGGCTACAAAGGCAAGAAGTGACTGGCTTACAAGCTTTCAAGAGGGAACCTAGATCCAGAGGGTGTGGAGGAAGATAGAATCTCCACTGAGTAGTGTCCAATCTGTCTGAGCGGGGCTGATGAAAGGAAGTGCAGATAGGTCTCTTGTGATACAATAGTGAATAACTGTTATCAGGACTGATTGTGAGGGTTGGAAATGTAAAGGTAGACATTTTGTAGCAAGGAGGGGAGTGATTACCTTTGCAGCCTAGTTGCAGAGGTCCCTGGGACTATCAAGGGAGAAGAGAGGAGAGCGGGACCCTACCCAGAGAAGCAGTGATGCCTGAGATGGAGGTACAGATGATGATGTAGAGAGATGGAGCGGCTGGAAACTTTAGACCCAGAGAGAGATAGGGGCTGTGTGCTGATGACTGGGGCACAGGCTTGCAGGGTATACCCTTTGGTTGGTTGATGAAGCTTGGAGGGGATTGTAACCATGGCAATGAAATGATATACGATAGGATGAATGTAAAATTAATGTTCTCCCATGTAAACTATCATATAATTCACAGTAAGACATTAAAAAAAAAGGAAAAGTGAGTCTGAAATCCTAGTAAGGTATTTTGAGATGGCATGGCCCGCCCGCACTTTTGTGAGACAGCAAGTGGAGGGTGAAGAGTGGAGCGTTTGGTCAGGGTCTCACTGCCCCTTCCCTGGGCAGGGCGAGGGGGGAGTCCTACCCTGTACTGTAAACAGGATTCCGTGGGTGGCACAGACATTCAAGCACTCAGCTACTAAATGAAGTTCAAGTTCACCCAGAGACACCTTGGAAGAAAGAGCTGGTGATGTGATCCTGAAAGACCCTACTTTGGACACACAGGTCTCCATGATTCTGTGTTGGCTCAGTGGCAGGCGGTTTTGTTTGGTTTTACTTTGTACCTGACCGTGAGATCTTGCTTGGCAGTAGGGTTTTTCTTCTGTTAATGAAGTTGTATTGGGGTAAAGCAGATCTCAACATGATCCTTTCTGAGTTATAAGGAGCAGAACAGACAAAAAAACTCAGAGGTGGAGAGGAGAAGATGCCAAATGAAGACAGACAGCCACGTGCCCAGCAGTTACCAGAAGCGAAAAGAGAGGAAGTAAGGTCTGCCAGTGAATTGGAATTTCCGTCCCCTGAATTATGAGACCCTAGGTCTATTCTCTGAAGCCCCCATATGAGGCTTTCTTTCCTTACAGCTGCCCTGGTGCCTAGAACAGCCAGCTCACCTCGGTTTTATTTCTGGCTGAGCTGAGTTGGAGGTGTAGACCTGGGGTCTTGGGGGTTCAGGATTCCCTGCCTAGACAGACACTCTCTCCAGATTGCTGCAAGCTGAGCCTCCTGACTAAATTGCTTTCCTGAAACTCTGGCCTCCAAAGAGGAGAGAGGACCTGTGGACAAATCCCTGGGGAGGAGAGTGACTTCCCTGCTGAGAGGAAGCCAGGCAGGGACCCTGTTTGCTGGCCACACCCTCTGCTGGGGGTCCCAGAGAGGGAACTAGCAGGGGCTACAGGAGAACCAGCAGAGGGCAGTGGTCTGCCAGAGGTACCATTCCTGGGTTCCACACCTCTGTGCCACCTCCTTGCCAGCCCCATTTGGCCCATGGTGGGTGCCAGTGAATCCTCCGGGGAGGGATGAACATGTGAAAGGCCTTCCCACACCACCACTGCAGACTGTGCCTTCTTGTCCCAACATGCCAGCTACCTCCGCCGAGCCTCACTCGCCTTCCCCCTCGCCTGGCTACCCTTCCTCAGGGTTGCACTCAAAGGCCCCTTCCTCCCCAGCTGTGCCAGCCCCCATGGGTTAGCTGGAATCCTTGTGATGGGTTCCCACCCACTTGGTGAGTGTGTGCTTAGTTGTGGGTGTGGGTTGTGGACTAGCAGCAACTGGGGCTTCTTGAGACAGAGCAGCCTGCCTAGTTCCGGCTCTGCTTGTGGCCGTGGCGTCGGGAAGCTTCTATAAGACACTTGACACGTGTTTGTGGATTGACCAAGTCTCTAGTGGCTGTCTGGCCTTTGGCCTACTGTGAGGCTGGCCCAATTTAAGAAGCAGATGACATTTGTCCGTCGAGGTTCTCAGTTCCTGTTTGGCGAACTTTCCTGTAAATGGTACCCTCTATCTGCTTTATAATCATTCTGCTTCTATGGACTCTGACACTTTCTTCTCTGCCCTTACAACATACAAATCCCTTCTCAGTGACATAGCCCATGTACTAGTTCAGACTAAAGAGTAAATGATTGCTAAGGCTTAATGGACCTGTTTCCCTTTTTACCTTATAATAAAGCAGAGGTGGGGAACCTTTGTTCTGCCAAAAATTTTAACATCATTCACAGGCCATCCAAAATGACCAACTTAAAAGCCTGTTATATTTGGTCAAACCTTTCATTGTTAAATGCTGTCGAGTTGGTTCCGATTCTTACTTACCCTTTATAGGGTTTCTGAAAATCAGCTGGTGGGTTTGAACTGTCAGCCTTGTGGTTCGCAGTCTGGAGTTGATCCCACAGCACCACAACTCACCCCTAAGGTGATGGCTGGAACTGTGGTTGCCTTGGCAGGGCCAGACCAAATGATTTTGAGGGTCTTATACAGCTCTGGTAGCGTAGTGGTTACGAATTGGGCAGCTAACCTCAAGGTCGGCAGTTCGAAACTACCAGCTGCTCCGCAGGAGAAAGATGAGGCTTTTTGCTCCCATAAAGATTTACAGCCTCGGAAACCCTGTACAGGGTCGCTATGAATCGAAACCAACTCCACGGTACTTAACAACAACATAGTTGCTAACATTTGGAGTCCTGGTATGGCGCTGTGGGTTAATGCGCCAGACTGCAAAGCCATTTGAACTGCAAGGTCAGTGGTTCAAGCTCACCAGCTGCTCCTCGGAAACACTATACAGGGTTGTTTTGGGTCGAAACAGACTCGATCTCACTTAACAACATAACAACATACAGCCTGTGGGCTGGATGTTCTCCATCCCTGTAATAAAGGGCTAATAAAAAGAAGACAAGAAAAAGAGTGATTCCCAGATGGTGGACCAGCTGGCAGGAGAGGTCAGTCAGAGGGCCCAGTGTCCCCTGCATTCGTCTCAGTGGAGCTGCGTCTCTTCACGTCACAGCTGGAGAACATGACGTTCGGATGTTGAAGGATTAACAGGCTCTCCACTCTGTAGCCTCTGCCATCCTCGTCCTTGTAAACAGAGGAACGCTGCTGCCTCTCAAGTCTCAGCTGCCAGAGGAAACGAGGGCTGGAGGAGACTTCCTCATCAATGGTGACATCACCTGTCATGCGCATGCCCCGGAGGCTCCCCTGGGGCCCTGCCTGTTTCCAGGGAGAAGCAGCTCAATGGGGGACCACCACAAGTCAAGACTCCTCTGGGGAAGTGATGTGCCTGGCTGAGATGACCGGGAACTGGCCCCTGAAGGGCCCCTGCCCCACTCAGCACCCATCTCAGTGTGGGATTTTGGGTGCTGCTGGGTGGCAGTTGGTACAGATGAGGTGATGAGGGAGGAATTACTGACCACCCACCTAAGGATCACAGTGGTGCTACCCCGTTGTGTATGGGGTTGTCATGAATGAGGACTGACCCCAGGGCAGTTCACAGCTCATGTCCAGTGGCAGGGTTCTCTGAGGTTGTTGTTTGTCACAGAGTCCACTCTGACTCCAGGTGACCCCAGTGTGTGCAGAGCAGAATCTACTCCTTCAAAAGCAGATTGCCAGGGCTTTCTTCCAAGGCACCTGTGGGTGGGTTTGAACCACCAGCCTCTCAGCACGTTGTAGGATGCTTAACTATTTGTGCCACCTCTGAGGCTATGTCCCCTTATTTCCTTATGAACGACAGGCCTCGTGGCACATTGAAAGCAAAACTTAGATTCTCTGTGTCCGTGTTGAGGAACCCTGACCTTGGTACAATCTTGAACCAAGCATTGGGGACCAGGACATTTTTCTAGGGGAGATACGGGGAGCTTCCCCTAGAAGAGCCGTGCTCTGGAATGCATCATCGGAAAGCCACTGGGACAGCTGTCACCGCCTCTCTGGAAACCCAGTTAAGAAAACCTATTGTGAGGCCAAATTGCTTTCTACAGCGTTCGGAATCCTTTCTCGTCTTCTTTAACACAGAACCACAAGACAGAGCAGGGAAATAGCCACTGGATCCAGAGTTCTGCTGGTCAGTGGCTGGAGCTGGATTCAGAAGAGGCTGTGGGTGCTTCCCGGGGTGTGTGTATGTGTGAGTGTGAGGGGTCGCACAGGCACATGAAGCTATCCGGGATAGCAGAACTATCCAGACCTTAGGATGAAGCCAGTGGGGTGGCAAGAGACAGAGCTAGACAGTCCATCACCCTTGTTTCAGTCCCACCTCCACCTCACCCACACTGTCCTAGGGGTGGGACAACCTTTGGCCCCACCCACCTCCATCCCCACCCTAATCCTCTGAGCCAGTGTCCAGCTTCCTCCAGCAGTTGCTCCCCTGTTCCCATCAGTCATTTTATGCCTTACCATCACTGAGGAGAAACACCCTCCATGTCTGGAGTCTGGGTGTCACCCCTGACACCTCCCACCTGCTGGCTCCAGTCTTTCTGAAGAAAGTGGGAATGCAGTTGTCTGTGGAGGTCTGAAGTCATTAGCTGCACACTCAGGGCACTCTGGGGCCGTGGGTGTGGAGTGGAGGACAGGGGCAAATTAGCTCCTGATTAGCGGTCTCCAGGTGCAGGACTGCCGGCCAGCAAGCAGTGTCATAATTAACTAGCGGCAATGGCCCTCTAATAGCTCTCCTGGGGATTTACTCATCCAGGAAGGTGCTGGAGGTGGGGAGGTGGGGGCTGCTCAGGGCAAGCCAGTGGCCCATAAGTAGGTGGCAAACGGGTTGCCTGGGAACCTTTCAAGGGCAGATTTTAAGACCCTCCCCTGAGATTCTGATCAGGGGTCCACAGTCAGCCAGGGTATGAGGTGCCGGGGTACTGAGCCCCAAGACGCACAGCACGGCAGGCATTCTGGAAAGACCCAAAGCTCTGAGAGTGGGTCTAGCCTGGCAGGGTCACCTGCCAGCACCCTCGCCGAGTTCTGCTGGCCAGCCCTGGATGGTTGCTCAGTGCTCTGTGCCTCAGTTTCCCCACTGGTTGAATGAGGTCTGTAGTCCACCACCAAGCACTAGAGAGGTTCTAGCTGCAGGGATCTTCTCTGGGGTCAGTAAGTCTGTGCTCCCCTCAAAGATTCTGGGAGAGGGTCCTTCCTTGTCTCCCCCAGCATTGAAGAAGGTGTTGTTGGGCTTGTGGCCACATCTCCCCAGTGTGTCTGTCTTTCCTCTTCCATCCCTTATAAGGACACTGAGCATCACTGAATTGAGAGCCCCATGGGTAATCCAGATGGCCCCATCCCGAGATCCCTCGCTTCACAGCATCCACACAGACTCTCTCTCCAAATGAGGCCATGTTCGAAGGCTCTAGCGTTTCATGTGTGGATGCATCTTTGGGGGGGCTCCTGTGAGAAGGGGTTGGTGATGACGTCAGTGATTCCATGACCTACTGTCCACACACAGTGAGGTCACATTGTTTTTTGTCACTCCCCCAGCCCAGAGGTTGGATGAAATGCTCAGACCACACAGGTCCAAGCCCACATGGAGCTGCTTGTCCCTGACTGGTAAGCATGTCCCCACATGTTGTCCATGGTCTCATGTATTGTCTGGAACTCCTTCTGGGAGGGAGGAAGGGAAAGTGTCACCTGGCTGAGTACCATGGCTCCCACAGGAGAGAGGCTGGAACACAGGGTCCAGATGCTCACACTGCCCACTCTCCAGAGCCCACGCAGGAGACACGCTCAGCCCGGTCCCTTCATTGCAGAGCCCGAACCCAGAAGCCCAGGCCCACCATGCCTTGGACTAAATGAGCAAGTTATGAATTAACACAACAGAAATGTAATTACCACAGGAGCCAGCTGAGAATAAAATGGATTATCCATTCAACAGTCAGTAAACGGTTATCACATGCGTCCTTCTAATATACTGCTGATTAAAATAAATCCAAATTCAGCCTATCACTCAGGGCCACCACTCTCCACATCCTCCTGGTGCCCTTACAGGACCCCTTCTGCAGCCCCCAGCCTACATGTGCAGGGGCAGGACCAAGGGGAACACTGTGATCCTGGAATGATGAGGATGGTGGTGATTGAGCATTTCCTGGGTCCAGGGCATCATCTACCCAACGAGGAACCTAGACCGCAGAGTGTGGCGTTGGCATACCTGGCTCCATCTGCAGATGAGAGCAGGTGGCAGAGCTGGGATTCAAACCCAGTCTGGATCGAGTTTGCTGGGACAGCCCTTTAGAAGTGTGTGTGTGTGTGTGTGTGTGTGTGTGTGTGTGTGTGTGAACAAGGCTGCAGGGTTGCAGCAGACATCCAGAGCACCCCCTCCAGCCAAGCACCCCTAGGACTCCTCCTACGGGATGGTTACACCACATCTGCGGCAGTATTGCCAACACTGTCCATCCTCCTGTGGGTACTTATGTGCTGCTGCAAGGCGGAATTTAAAATGCCAGCAGAGTTGTCAAAGACTTCAATTTCCTTGGACCCACAATCAATGCTCATGGAAGCAACAGTCAAGAAATCAAACAACACATTGCATTGGGCAAATCTGCTGTAAAAGAGCTCTTTAAAGTGTTACAGAGCAAAGACTTTAACTTTGAGGACTAAGGTGCCCTTGACCCAAGCCGTGGTATTTTCAGTTACCTCCTATGCATGTGAATAGCTAGCAGTGAATAAGGAAGACTGTAGGAGAACAGCTGCGTTTGAAGACAATTCAAAGAACCATGGACCACGAGAACAAACAGATCAGTGTTGGAAGAAGTGCAGCCAGAGTGCTCCTTGGAAGCCAGGATGGTGGGACTGTGTCTTGTGCCCTGGAGAAGGATGTATCATGCTTGGTAAAGTCAGTGAAAAAGAGGAAGAGCCCCAGCGCACTGGATGGACACAGTGGTGACAACAATGAATTCAAGCTTAACAGTCGTGAGGAAGGCCCAGGACCACAGGGTTGTTGTAAGTAGCATCCAACTAGATGGTACCTAACTACAACAACAACACACTGACTTCCCGATTCCTGATTGCAGGGATTCATTTCCTGCTTTTTTTTCCATACTGTGAACGTTTGGAGCATGAGTCCCTGGGACCTAACCACCAGCATGTCCATCTGTCCTTGTGTTGTGGCCAGAATGAGCTCTTGGTGGATTCTGCCTGAGAACTCCCGTTAGAGGCAGGACTCAGGGAGGGGTCATCTTCTGGCTCGCCTGGGCTTCCAGCCAGGAGGTGGGGTCAGAGCTGCCAGCTCTGAGGGTCAGCTCTCCCTTTTATGAAAGGCCTTTCCTGTGTCAGAGGTGTCTGGTCATCACTTGCTGACCTTTGAAGTTCCCCAGGGAGGGTGGGAGCGAACTTGGAGAAATTCCAGGCCAGGGGAGAACCAGCCTGGCATATGTGGTGGGGTGCAATCAGTCCCTCCTCTGTCCACCTCACCTAGCAATGCCCATTCACCCAATTCCACAGACTGACCACCAGCTGCATATCAGCCACGGCTCTTAGAATACAAGACCACCCAGCCCAGCAGCAGAGCTGTCCACACTGAAATGCACCAGCATTAGGGGAACCAGAGGGTCAGGAGTGGGGACTGGACTGGAGGAGGTGACTTTGATCAGAGGCTGGGCAGAGGGTTCCTAGCAAAGGCCCTGGGTTGGAGCAGGCCTGGCTGCGTGTGAACATGAGAGGTCGGGTGGGGCTGGGCAGGTGAGGGACAGGTGGGTCATGAGTATAAGGTGTCAGGACAAGAAGGGATATGCGGCTGTGTAAAGAGTGTCCTCAGTCCCTCATCAAGGTGGTGGGGCACTACAGATCCTTGCTCCTCCTTTGTGGCCCTGGCTCTGCCTGCAGGAGGGGGGCTTCCAGCCATCCAGCTCCAGACCCTGAGCAGTAATCAGACAGGCCAGGGGAGGGTACTCCCTGAAGAGTGTTCTCCCCTCTTCCCATGGAGGGGCCAGAGCTTCAAAAAGACCCTCTTTTTGGGCTAAAGTCCATCAGAGACATACCTGCCAGTGGCCCTCCACTGCTGTGCCCTCTAGCCTCATCCCTCAGCCTCCCTCCCAAAGCTTTATTCCTCCAGCTTCAACCCCCAGCTTCAACCCCCAGCTTCAGCCTCAGCTTCACCTCCCCGACCAGCTTCACCCCTCCCCCCAGGTGCCCCTCCTCCACCTGCTTCTCCTACCAGATGGGTACCAAGTCCCACTGTGTGGCTGGCTTAGTTAAATGGGATGTTGATGAGACTCCAGAGCGTGCTTTTGATCTGT